ATCGCTAACGGCTGTAACTTGCAATGGTGTTACAAGGTCAATCGTAGAGCACGTTTATGATCAACACAGTCCCCGCCACTGCGGGAGCCGCCTTGGTTGCACGCGTCTCCTGCTGTAGTGTTATCATGAGCATTCTATCAGACTGATACCTCGCACACAGCTTTGTCATAGTTTTAGGGATAGGTAGCAGCTACGGATAGATCATTGTTTGAGGATGGTCGTTTCCCAGATCCAATGAAATAGCGAACGCAGTGGGTTGAGCTAAACTGAAATGCAGGTTTTAAATATTTCCGCAGAATACCCTCTTCCCTTGGGGGTTTTCAGTTTACTAACCGTTGAGGCAATTTCTTCCCTATATGGTGACTGGTAGTTGACTGTGTGGGGTTCATGTTTTTTGCTACCGCTAGGCGGTCAGGTTGTCTAGTTGTGCGGTTTAATTAGACCCAGGTTTCGCATTTCTGAATTTCAGTCATCTGTTTTCCAAAGAATAGCACACTTGTGGAATATTTTCCCCTTTCTGGTCTTTCTTCCAAGTTACGGCAAATTCCATCTTCTTAACTTGATCCAACAACCAACAAGCTAGTTCACTCTGTTGACTTCTGTATAAAAACTAATAGGTTTATCAGCAGAATATTCCTTGGTAAAGAGCTTATATAATCAAATTATTGACCCTCCGGACTCCCTTCAAATTTTAACTGTCTGCATGCCGATCTGCCCATGGTCCGTCTTTTAACTAATCATACGACAAATTTCATTTGTCTTACGACACGATCATTCGATTTTTTTCTCTACCATATAGTTCCGGATTTACTTGTTTTTCATATTCCTGTGCATCTGTATGTATTTTCACACGCCTGAGTTCAGACTGTGCTAGTATTTCACACGCGTCCGAATCCAGACTGTGCCAAATAAATCACGATACAATAACCTGAATAAAAAAGTAAAAGTCCATCATTTGATCGAGGGCACGATGCTGCTAGGTTACCTAGGCCAAAGCAGGTGAATTTTATTGGGGACTTCACAATCGGGGTATTCGGCTATCCAAAGCCTGACCCTCGAGGCAGCGAGGCGGTGTGCGAAAACCGCACTCCATTGGGGCCTCCGAAAGCCCCAGTATGATCGGGTGGGTGTCTTGGATTGTGACTGGTAACCCTTCTTTTACTGCTCGCAAAATGCTCCCATCCGGCCAAGCGTCTCAAACATAACTATCATCATCGTGCGGCGAAATACAGTGAAGCAAACTTCGCTGATCGCTGCCAGACTCGCAATTCATACAAGGCTAGTGGTAAAATTTAAGGTAGACAGGGATCGGACCTTCTTTGAGAGAGGGAGAAGAAATTGAACCACTGTGGTCAGCACACGAGGTGAACAATCGAACCCTGCATACATACCATTTCCAGCATTCCGGTCTGATAAGAAATGACAACAGCCTCTGCTGAGGAAGCCCTACTCACTGTCTCCTTGTGGCGGAGGTATTTTCCCACCCAAGTGAGAGGTCGAAAAGCCAATGTCCGGGGCTGTAATTGGATCATAGGAAACTGTTACCTACCAGAGTCGGAACTCGGTGGCACGGCTTGAGCTGCAGACCAGTGACCGCGACTTACACCACCTGGACTGCACTGAATAAATCACATTCGGTTCTCTCCACAACCGCTTCCACAGTGGTGATACCAATATGCAGATTATAAAGCTCCTAAATCTGTTAAAAAACGGCAGTACGAACTCAGACAAGTGTGAAGTACAGTGTCATTCTTCCTATCATTTCTTGTCACATTTCCCAACGTAATACTTGTTACTTACCCCAAGCAGTAATTGCCACGTCTGGTTTCGGTTTTCAGATTATTTACACTACAACTCCAAAAGATCTCCAATGATGCTGGAATGCCTATCCTAGGGCAACCGTGTTTCTGCAAGTATGCTACCGGTCAGGATCAGGTTGAACCCATGTTTCGTTATTTGAAAAACACACATGCTGGCCTTCAGTTGATCGTGGTCGTTCTTCCGGGGAAAACACCTGTCTACGGTAAGTAACTTTTCCTCAAGAGCAGTCTTTTTTGGGAGTATTTGTTAACGGAGACACCCTAGCTCTTTTATTGTGATGTGTAAACAACCTGTTGGAGCGCGATTTTTGGCGTAGTCAGGCCAAAATTTTTCCCTATTAGTTGTTATCGGTCTTTGTTTCGTTCTTCATCCAAGATTTCTTCGCCCCATCATGTTTNTGTTCGAAAAATGGAATCTTTTTTATTTTTTTTATTACATACCTAAGTGTCACGAACAGCAAATGTGGTGAACCCCATAGACACGTGGACCTGCTGTTCAGTGGTGTAAACCGGCAACCTAAGCCCCGGGACTTGGAGTGGCGAACCACATAAGGCCCCGCCAGGTTAGGCGTGGTATTGAACCGGACGACAGCAGAGCTGCCTATCACCAAAGCAGCTGCATCTTCAGTTACAGTTTTCACAACCGTGCATTTTCGTGCACCGGTTTTGGTTGTTGTCTTTTGGTTGCCCATTTAGGTAAAGGAGGAGAATAAAGATTAGAGTGTTGAGAGTAGATTCACAATGAAGATAGAGAATTCATTTAGACTAGGGTTGCAAGAATAATGAGTAAATACACGAGTTCCGCATCTCACCGAATGCGATTGATCAAATCACTCAACTGTCTGTAAATTTTCTGTTTCCCATTGTGAGAAAACACTTTGTGTTTTCTCACAATGGGTATAGATGATATATTCGGACAATTTTCTTTTTCGTTTAATAGTCACATTGCTCGGGTGTTGATTTAGTTTCTCTCCTAAATCCCATCATGATATGATTGATCGGCTTTCGTTTTTGTTACTAATTTCAGCGGAAGTAAAACGTGTCGGCGACATCATGTTCGGTTTGGCCACACAATGTGTACAGTCAAAGAATGTTAACAAAACATCTCCCCAAACGCTTTCCAATCTGTGCTTGAAGATCAATGTGAAGCTAGGTGGTATCAATTCTATCATTGTACCGAGTGTTCGACCCGCAGTCTTCCGCGAACCGGTCATTTTCCTTGGTGCTGATGTAACTCATCCACCAGCCGGGGATAAAACAAAACCCAGTATTGCGGCGGTCGTGGCCAGCATGGACGCTCACCCCAGTCGCTATTCGGCCACAGTTCGTGTCCAGTCTCATCGTCAAGAAATCATTCAAGATCTCTATCCAATGGTGAAAGATTTACTGCTACAATTCTATCGTGCCACTCGATTCAAACCAACGCGTATCATATACTATCGTGACGGTGTCAGTGAAGGTCAATTCCTCAATGTAAGCATTTGCCTTCATTTATGTATATTCGGACTGCCGTTTCTCACAAGTGAATGTAAGAAGTGTTTTATTTGAATCAGATGAATTTTCTCGTCTGTACTTTTAACTCCAATCCTGTCCTTTTCGAATTGTAATGCCATGTGTCATTTTATCTATACCTTTTGCAAGCCAAGTTGTCTCAGTATCATATCAAGATGTCCTCGGATTATTTCAAGCTGTCGCGTTGACCTCACCGGTGCTGAAATAATCCGGGGACATCTTGAAATGATACTGGGACAACTTGAAATAATCGTCAGACATCTTGAAATAATGATCAGTGAACTTGAAATGATTCCCGGACATCTTGATACGATACTGGGACAACTTGACTTGCAAAAGATATAGATCGTCAGTGAATTCAAGTGTGTTCAAATAAATCCACCTGCTTTTTCTCAAGACTAACGGCAATAACCAAGTTTGCTTCTGATGAACTGAAGTGGATTCACCTAAGTTCGTGACTTGTTGCAGATGACCATATGAGGAATCCATCTGAGTTGGGGACGATGACTAAACGATACTTCATTGTCTAAGAATTCTCGAATAGAAGCTGTTGTTAATAAAGAAATCAATAAAATGAATACACAGATGAACACCTATCCGAAAATGGTTCTGATGAATTCAATCAAACTCACGAGTTACCTAAATCAAAGTCTGAATTGGCCGTTGTGGTACGCAACAAATATTCAGGATATCGAAGTGGATCTGAGGGAAACGACTGATGCCCACAGCTATGAGGCGTGATTCACTGTGGTGGTGATGCAGTGGTTTAGTCGCTGTCACTAGCATGCTTTGGACCCTAGTGTCCGAGGTTCGAGCCCCGCCATCGCCACCCAGCTTTAGTGGCACGTAGCGTTTCTGTCGTCTGGTTCGATACCACGCCTAAACTAAGTGGGGTCTTATGTTTCTCGTCACTCCAAGTCCCAAGATATAGGTTACCAGTTTCCATGAATGGACAGCAGGTCTGCCTGGTTATGGGGTCCATTTTGCCTGCTGTTTCTCGCACAGGTGTGTAATAAAAGAATTTCATGCAAGACACCTGCGGACTAATAACCAAGCTGTGTTGAATACGGTTACAGCCTATGCTTATGTCTGAGCCATAGGAAATACGATCACGTAGTAAAATTATCGACGATGAGTATATGAAGTGTGTTACGCGGGGAGTGGGGAGAGATCGATACACCTGGGATAGTCAAAAACGTCTTCAGTGGTGCAACAAAAGCGTTGAATAAACGATGCAATAAATTTTAACATAACACCGTCGTAAGTATCTTCACTTTCATGACAAACACGGCCGAAAACTTGAAGTCAAGGAGATTCAGTTGTAAATCGACATGACTTGTTTTCTTTGGCGTGATATATCTCGCTGTCACTTATCCATACTATTTTTGTTGATAGCTTCGCGAGGTTATCAACTTCTATTGAATATTTGGATTTACACCACCCAATCTTTTTTCACTGTAGGTACTAAATCATGAACTGCGCGCGGTTCGTGAGGCTTGCGTCAAACTGGAGTTGGGGTACCAGCCGGGCATAACGTTCATAGTTGTACAAAAGCGCCATCACACCCGCCTTTTCTGCGCAGACAAGAAAGATCAGATGGGTAAATCGGGTAATATTCCGGCCGGTACCACTGTCGATCAAATTATCACTCATCCAACGGAATTCGATTTCTACTTGTGTAGCCATGCCGGAATCCAAGGAACTTCACGACCCAGTCATTATCATGTCCTGTGGGATGACAACCGGTAGGTCTGATAAGTATATTCATAGGATCTAGCCAAATTTCGTTTTCCCTCCTGAAGAACTTTGTCTGTCGTTCTTTTTTCAAAACTCACATTACTTGACATTTCAAAAGTCCTATCGTTTGTTGAAAATCTGATAGATCAATCGGCAATTTCGTATGTAATTATGATTAGAGCTGACTTCTAGCTTCAGAACAAGTTTTGTCATTCTAACTCTAATCCTCTGTTCTAAAATCACTTTCTTTTTCTGCACACAGATTCAGTGCTGATGATATCCAGAATTTAACCTATCAATTGTGTCACACTTATGTGCGATGCACTCGGTCCGTATCGATTCCCGCACCGGCCTACTACGCACACCTTGTTGCGTTCCGAGCACGCTATCACTTGGTTGAGAAAGAAATCGATAGGTTAGTTTTTCATGCCCTCACGAATCATTGTCCTTAATCGGATCAACAATGTTCATGCTTTCCTGGTTTCGGTCAGTTTATCAATGCTCTGCTTCTATCGAAATTCACAATCTATTATCTACATGGTCTGAACCCATTTTTACCAGTGCTTATATGTTGTCTATTAGTGCCGTTTTTAGTCACTTGTGCCGTGTCCTAAAGGAAGGCGACTGCATGCGAAGGCATATTGTGTTACAGTCGTTAGCAATTAAAATATGAGCTGTCTACTGTGGAATGGAGTTGAATGAATGGTACACGGACGATGTTCATTAGTTCGTCACTGTCCTTTAAATCTGCAGGTGTCTCTTTCGGAAGAATACACCTTATGAGCTCGGCCTATCCGAGCCATTTGATTTTGAGATAATCCTGCCGAGCAACTTTTAAAAGACTTAATCTCCGCTCATTTGATAATGCTGTTTCTTTTCTGATAAGTTTGCAAACAAAGCTGTGCTATCATAAATTGTATGTTCTCTACGTCTTTTATTTCTTACTCGTTTGTCCTGCTAGTGGCGAAGGAAGTCAAAAATCAGGAAATTCTGATGAACGTACACCAACGGCTATGATGCGAGCGGTCACTGTCCATCCCGAGACGCTACGAGTGATGTATTTCGCTTAGGCCGCTCCTCAAGGACTGCCGCCTTGGAACTCTCACTATGTACTTCTCTATCGACCTCCTTTATCTTCACGGCCAAACTGTCTTTTTTTTCTTTACTTGTCTTTCTCCTTAGCATTTATTGTCCTTGTTTGTGCCAACAGCCTTGAAGCGTCATAATCGCGGAATTATCCTCTCCCTCCCCGAATTCCCCGACCTGGTTATATTGAACCTACCGCGTCTGATACATTCTTTTTTAATTATATAAATGCTAAATCTGAGTTGTATTCGAGTGGGGGGACGAAATCATATGGCATAGCGCACATGAATGTTAGTCGGGTGTAGAGGTCATGCAACCTCCACTAATAAGATCCTCACGTAAAGCGGGTTCAAAGTTCCAACTGAAACGATTTCGGTTAATAACATAATAATAATAATTATTATAAAATAAATTGATCAGATGGTACTTGAATGCTTTTCTAACTAGACAAGAATGACAGAGCTAGAAACTGAGCTGCACGAACGCAAAACGGTAGTATTCGATCGTGTAGGACATCCTACCTATCCCAATGAGATGTCACAGCGTGAATCTCAAGATGCAGGCGGAGGTTTCGTCAGTGAACAGGGATCGAACCCTGTTTCCGAAAACAGCGTTGCACTGTTTTACCAGCCGTGCTTTGGGGACTTGAATAGCCAAGTAAGCTATGGTTATGTGAGCTGAACTGGGTGTGCTTAGGACTAATTCATCGGATTCTTAAACCAATTACTTCGCGATGGGTGATGTTTCTGTGCTACTTTCAGATCCGCTTTTTCTTGCAATGAATCTTCATTTGAATGAACATCCCTAAGGATTAATATAACCTGCCTTATTTATTCCAAATTAGTTTACAATCATTTGTCATCAGAGACTACTGACAAACACTGCGTTGCACTAGTCTGGTTGGGCAACCAGAAAAACGATGCTCAGGTAGTCGCCGTCATCCACTGGAGCAAATGCTCACCGTTCATAAATAACGTTGGCATATGTTACGCATGACACCGAATGGGTTATCGCGGTGTGCGGTTTTCCGAGGTAGGTAGTAGATGGGAAAGATGGAAAGAGTGGTCGAACTAACGCGGTATGAATTGTGTTGATCCAACCCTGTACCAGCCAAATAGCTGCTCGTTAAAATTTCAGAACAACAGAAGTCTGAGGTCGTTAAACCGGATCATTTAAGTTATGCTGGTCTACTTGAACTCCATTTTCATCCTGACTGCTACCAACATTCCAGTCTCCCTCTGCTCATTTATCCAAATTGGTGTACAAAAGACAACAACTAAGAGCTCCGAGTGAAATCGCGTAGTAAGTGATTGAAAACTGATCAACGTTTCGGTCACGCTTATGTGAACGGGACCGAAGTGGTTACCACGTTCAACTACAGGACTGATAAACTTACGTTGGCCTTTGTACTCATAAAAATCACGTCAACCTTATCGTGCGCTTATGATCGTGTTAGATGTGTATAGGCTGTTCAAGTGACCTCATGCTCGAGGATAAAGTGAGGCTAAATATATCTTGCTACTCTCGGTGTCAGTGTGAAGCTATGCGCAGTTTGTATCCCGTTAGGTCATATCGCTTGTTACAAAAGATTGGTTAGGCCTTTAAACGAAGTCGAAGGACTCTATTCACACCTCATACGTCGTTCTTGATGAAAGAACGTCTTATTGAGATATTTAGGCTGCTTTCATCAGGCATGCACGGTAAGCAAGTCAAGTCAGTAGTAGCTTTATGCAAGCGGGTGGGTGAATTTTCAGCATTTAGATTAAATTCAAATTTATGAAATCATTACATAATGAAATAGAAAGCAGTGGATTGTGTTTGTCAATGCAGCAAGCACTGGCGCAATTCTGTGGAAATTTTCTCCTTGTCAATAAGTTGACTTGTTAGATATGGCAGAAAGGAATTTCGATAAGCAAAGGTGCGTGCAAATAAAAGTTAAAATCTTGAGCGTGTGGATGATGTGGACATGCTTTTGAAAACTCTTGTGATGGGTGGTGAGTGTCAGATTATTTTGGCAGTGCAACTTTCGCACGCTTGTGGGTGTCTGCCAAGGATAGAATCGGCCAATTTATCCCTGACAATGCCACTACATTCAGAGATCTCGCCAGTAAATAAAAGTGTTCAACGTACCGGGAAAAATCACCGGAGAGCAATCACAAAACCAAAATTCAGCTTATGGGGAACAGAAAGTAATCTCAATCGGAGTGGGAAACATGAAAGCTTTCTAACTTTACAGAATGTGTTTTGAACATGCGGTGACCTTGATAAACTGTGTGATGAGGTGACGCCAAGGTATCTCACTACGGTTGATTTCGGTACGGTTTGTTGATTGGCAGAGAGAGTGGGGAACCTATCAGTGAGGGCTGAATATGGTACATCGGCCAAGAGGGAAAACAATATCTTGACATTTAGAGGCATTCGACGAGAGGGAACGAGACAAGGACCAAGTAACAACGTCGTTTCGCTTGCTTTGAATTCCTGAATCCTCTTCAGGAGTGGATGCTTTGCAGCCTTGATCGACAGTGCTAGAGTGTGGCCGAAGTTCGGCCAATATGTTTCCTACGTCAGCCGGAGAATGTTTTATAGATTTGTCTTCGTTAAAAACATTTTCAGCGAGTTATTATTGGACCTTCATGTGGACAATTTAAGCAGTGAGAGAAAAGTTATTATTGCGCCGCGGTGATTCAATAAACTTTATTTTCTAGCTCATTGGAAATGTGTTTCGATTCGACGTGTTACAAGTGAATTACCGCGCATGCAACAGGAGTATTAACGGCACTGATCAGCAGTTTACTCGAGAAAATGATCATTCAGTAACTTCATTTCGGATCATGAACTCCGAATTCGAAATATATTTCATTAGCCGTTTGATCGAAATGCAGCCGTACGCAAGCAAACCATGAAAGGGTTCATTGAAGCAGCAAGTAGGGTGAAAAATTAGGCTGAGACGAACGAGCTTAGGAACTGTCAGTGGCCATTTCTTCTATCTCATGGATATGAACTGTTGATGCACACATTTTGATGAAGCTTGATTGGACCTCCGCATCCTGCTAATCCTGGTGCTTTGCGAAGTGCATTGTATAATCTCTGCCCATCCTGATTCTCTGAGGTACTACTGCTTTGATCTGAACGGGTTTTTACTATTCCGCTATCCTGGAGTAAGATCCAATTGTGCAGCATGCGGATCTCAGCTGTTTGATCATTGTAAGCGGGATGGGGTTGTACTAGGAAAACTCGGATAGTTATCGATCAAAACGGTTGAGTTATCTGTCCGGTATAGGTTTGGCGAGTGCAATTTGTGTCCGGGGATGCACTTTGATAAGACGGATTGGATAGGGACAGGTGGTGACTCTCACGTGACTGAAAGGTTTATCAGTGCATTAAAGAAGATAAATTAGACTGATAAACTTATCTGACGCAGAATGCCAAATTATTCTCCGAGAACCATCGGCGAAACCGAAGGTGTCCTTCAAAGCAGGAGATGAGATCAGTGGTGGGTAGGCGGCAGGGTTTAACTTAAAGGGCAGGAAACCTGAGTGTAATCGAAGAGCACAAGAACGCTGAATTGCACGATTATGACCAAGGCAAATTTCGCTGCATCTCAACTACTACAATACAGTAGAAAGCAAGTTGGTATCGCTCAACAGTATACCAGCTACATGCGAATACAACAGGTCAGAATGCTGACACTTTTTACCATTGATAGTCCTTGTGACCGATATCTATTTTGCACAAGCCACGTTCCCTTCTAACTGCACCAGACTCCGCGAACCTAAGCTACCGGGGGTTGTTAGCATAAATGATCCTAAATCGGCTTGTCAGGTCCCAATCGTTATTCGTCATCAACAGATGTTGAGCGACAGATGAGACAACTTGTTCGATGTTCTGGGGTAAGGGTGATCGTTGGTAATGGTGAAGTGTGATTTAGTGTTTTGGTGATGTGTTTGGGGTGTCAAATTCTAGAATGACCTTTGTTCGTGTGACTCAATCAGCCGGTCTCTAGCATAAGATGGGATGCGGTCCTGGATCCGTGTATGCAACTGCCTGTTTGTATGATGCTCCGCATCCATATTTAAAAAGGACAAATTGCGTGTGCCTTGCGGGAGTTGCTTTTAGGGGTGGAGTAGAGATGAGTGCGATTGTGCATAGGATAATTGGGTTGGCAGCAATACAAGTGCGTTTTATCAAGTTTTCTCAATCGGTCTTGATAAACCAAGCTGATATTGTTGCCTTTATAGAGGAGGTGCATGTGGAACTTCTTCGTAGAAATGTCATATACCGCCGGCTTTTGCTCCGATATCCGACTGAATTTCCTGATAAAACGATTAAACTCTGTCTAATTCCGCTTGCAAACCATACCGGGTGC